TTTATGTCAAATTTTATTAAAATTGAATAACAAGATGAAAGTAATCAAAATATTTATATTTTAATATATTTTAAAATGTATGTATATATTACGTGAATTTTTACTGTCAATAAGAATAAATATTTTCACTGTGAATGTTTCTAGAAATAGAAAAAACAGATGAAAGAAACGCCTCCTTATACGTCTTTCTCTCTCTCTATATATTATCTATACTTTAGTTAAATAAAAATAATAGTTTATATTCTAACTACCATTAATTTTGCTATTCGATATAATTTTCTTACCAACGTTTATTATATATAAAATAGAAAATTAATAATTTTTTGAAAAAGTAGTATGAAAATTTTTCTTCCTTTCCCATCAAAATCGCCAACCCTTTTTCTCACTGTGCTCTCCACCGTTGGCTTTATTGCTTCTCTTTACGATCCATAAATCAACATCAACATAAAAAAGAAGGCACAAAAATGAGAGAGAAAAAATATATATATCTTTCCATCATTGAAACTGAATTATGGATTGCAAAAGTGGTCATGTCAAATGTTTTTGATGCGAAAAATTGACATTGAGATTTGATGGAAAAGGTTCATTGACTAGTGAATGTGAAATGTTCTTTGGAGGATAAAAATTTCTTCATGTGGATTGGAAAACAAGCGTTGAAACTTATCTCAAACGACTGAATAAATCATTGAGAACTCTTCTTGAACTGTAATATGATTAATTTGATAAATCAAAAACTGAATTAACTTAAGTTGATTTTGTTTTTTTTAAGTATTTAAGTTCGATCCAAATCTAATGGACTGAAGTCACTGAATATTTTTAGTCAAAGAGTCGTGTATAAATTATTAAGATTTAATATGTAATTTAACAATTTAATAAAAAATTATGTGATTTTTTAAATTATATAATTTTTTGTATTTTAGTTTTGATAATTCATAATAAGATCAATATTTAAAACTTTCACATAAAAAAGCTCTTTTACAAGTCACTCAATAAACAAAGAATTATTGAAAAGAATAACTTTTTTAAGAGTTATTTTTTTAAAATATATAATATATTAAAATATATTTTAACTATATAACCATTAAGATATAAGTAAATTTGTTTTAATTAATTTTATTTTTAACCATTTTTTGAATTATGATATGAAGATGTACCTACTTCTCTTTCTTTTTTTAACTCTTATATGATATGCATTTTATACTTGCACACATGTATAGGATAAATAAACATGTACTTCAAAATTAACTTTTATGTTTATTTGATAATGAGGAAAAAAATTAAATAAGAAATAGAATAAATATGAGTGAAAAGTGTAATAAATTGACATGTCATTAAGCTTGATATAACATAGTAATTAAGCAAAAAAAAAACATAACTATTCAATTATACTAAGGTTTTCATGTAATATACACTAGAACATACATGCAATAGTTATATGTATAGGGTGTAGAAAACTTAAAACAGATTCTGCTAATACGACTAAAAACATAAAGTCTCATAAGGGATTACATATATACAATATACATGTAATATGCACCCTATAAGCAAAACGATCTTATTATTGGTTAGCGTCTCTATATAACAAATATTGCATTAGGTAGTATATATACAAAATAGGTCACCTCCAATGTGACCATCCACCAACATTCAAGCTACCAAGCTAATTCTATTGTACTCTCATACTGAGTATGATCATTACAATCCAATAACATAAAAAAGAAAGGATAAGTTTGTAAAAGAATCAACATAACAACAATATACATGTACAACTTAAACAACATCCAACTAGTTCATAGCATAACATCAACATATCATCAACCATAAATATAACGTTAGGTCTCAAAGTGACTGGTAAACAACTTAAATTGATTTCTCATGTTTCAACATTTAAACTAGAAAAATTTAGTACTACTATTATAGTAGAACGACTTGAGTATGAGTCTACCACGACTTTAACATGCATATCTAAACTTCATATAAGATTAATCTGCTAACTACCCTTCAAATACTATGCACCTTTCTATATATCACTTAAGAATTTTATCCATCAATTTCATATTTTAATCAATTGGCCACTTTATACACATATAACTTAACCTAAACGAGACAAATTAAAACAATTGTCCATTCAAAAGCTAACTTATTTATTGAAGAGTTCTCAACTTGACTCTTAGAGTACCACAACTTATATCCACACAATAGAATATTTTAATCTTAAAAATAATTTTGCTCACCTATAATTTTTATGTATCTCAACTAAGTCATGTATCATTACCATATCTATATGCCTAACAACTTAATCAACACTTTGCAACTTAATTCAACTATCATCTTATAGATTAGCAACATAAAACATCATTATACATCTTCCAAGATCAATGCATAATGAGTTATCACCGTACAACATTAATTACGTGAGTGAATCATCATACTTCAACACTCAAATAACTTTAAACACCAAGTTTACATTTAGTAGCTCACATCCGACGCCACTTTTCTTGCACCTGACATCAATTGAGATAGAGAGCCTCAGACCCACCTACGTTTGACATTAGTCTACCTACATCCAACATGGATAAGGCAAAGAGCCTCTGAGTCAATATCGTTTAGTGTGACTAAACTCATGCTCAGTCTCATTCAGGTAGAGAATCCATACTTGAGTTTATATATTTAATAAAAAAACTCTTTTATTTATTTAACATTTTGAAACAAATAAATATAAATACTTTTATTTTTTAAAAAAATTAGAAGGCAACAATTTTATTAAATAAAGTCAATTGCACACAAGAAGTACTAATTGAGATAAGTACAATAATATCATTAAATTCACATTTCTCGTTAAACAAGAACACTGTAATGTCAAAGAATAACGATAGTTTCACTCTATGACAAATTATAAAACCATAGCAAATACATAAACCCTAAATTTTTATTTAAAATTTAATGTTTATATATTTAATGAAAGATTTTTTTTTAAAGTCACCCCTCTCCTTCAAATCTAACCTTGTTCCTATCACCACTTGATCAAGATAGAAGTTCGAAAATGAATTGTAAATGTTTTTAATTCTTGATTTATCTTCTTAATAATCAAGAGTCTAACAATCCAATAAATATAAAATCTAAAAATAATTGTTAAATGATATAATATAAATAATTTTACACAAAATAAATATTAATAATCTAATCATTAAAATACAATATTAAATACACTAAAATTACAATTTTTTTATTATAAAAACTATATAATACCAATACTTCATTAAATAACCTTTACAAAAACATCTTTGCTTCTTCTTATCTTTCCTCTAAATAAAAGTAAAAATTAACATTTGTATCTTAATTCAGACTTTTGAATTTGTATTTTGGAACGGCAAGCGAAAATTTAAGCATTATTTAGCGCTTTTGAAATTAATTGAAAGACATGTACGTGACGTGACTGACTTGGTTTAGCAGGTTCTTCGAATTGGCTGGCGCCTCGAACCTCGCACTCCACGCCAGTCATTTTCTTCTTCCTCTTCTCTTTTCATTTTCGCCCTTACTTTTTTCAATTTTTTAATTACAACAACTAAATAAATGTACAATATATAATATATTCTTATTTTTGTATCCATCTTTTTCATCCTTAATCGGCTAAACGATCGTGTAGTTTTACAAACAAAATATTAAAATGGGGCTGTTTTGAAACATTTTACACTAATTCTAGGCAGGATTACGATTCTCTAGGTCCTAAAGAACTAATTTTTTTCTCTCTGTTTTTTTTTTGAGGATAGAACTCTGGTTTACATTAATTAAACTATGCTAAGAATTTTGACACGTCATAGCATTCTTCAAAATACCATTCTCATCAGTCATCTTAGAATTACATTACAACTTTGTTTCTGTAATACCTTCGCAGAAAAGTGGTAGTATATCATACAATGGCCATGAGCAAAACGAGTTTTGTGTTCAAAGGGCTTCTGCATACACTAGCCAAACTGATAATCACATTGCAGAACTGACAGTGAGAGAAACTTTTGATTTTGCCAACAGATGTCAAGGTTCAAGTGATGCAGGTATGTGGTATATAGTATAATAATTTCAATATGTACAATTTTTATTTTCCACTTCACAATTTAATTACTTGTTTTCCTGGTCTAATGTCATAAACAGAGATTGTGAAAAATCTGGAACTCTTAGAGAAGGAGAAGAACATTCTTCCTAGTCCAGAAATTGATGCGTTTATGAAGGTTGGCTCATCTTAAATAATATCTGAAAATTCATGCACATGTGCAAGTTCAAGGTGGTCCTCTAATGTGTGTCTTCTCTCTCTCTCTCTCTCTCTCTCTCTCTCTCTCTCTCTCTCTCTCTCTCTCTCTCTCTCTCTCTCTCTCTCTTTCCTCTTCTCTGTCAGACCTTTAAAGATCAATGAAGCTTTTGATACCATGTTAAAAACAAAACTTAAAAAATAGAGATGTATGATTAAACAAAATATAGAGGTTCATATTAGAAAATTTGTAACATCATACATACAAAAGAGGCAAAAATTGATATAATATATTTGAGTTATGAACTCAATTTTGCACACTTTAAAATTCTTTACAACAAGTTCTTAAATACTATAAGTGACTAACCCCTGATTGGGTAAAGCAAATAGCAAAATATGACTAAACTAATAAATAAACTTCACTTGCCTACACAAATAACTTTTTTCTAAATATAAGCAATTTCTAACAAAATTTACAAGCAAAATAGAAAATTACAGATATTTTAAAATATTTAATTATGACGGTACAAAAATCTCAACTGTCAACATATATAAGTGAAGAGCAATTTTCACTGTATAAGTCATTTTTATAAGGATGAGTTAGACTTCGAACCATTTTCTTAAGAATTTTAATAAATCAATATTAACACCGTAGAAGGAAAAAAAAATCCCAGATTGAGGCTTGTTTTGTAATATTACATGCATGAAAGGGTCTATATGATTTTGCATTTTAATTATTTGTGTGGTTGAATTCAAAAGGGTTGGATTGGAGGTGCCAAGCATCGAAGTGAGGTACAAAAACTTGACAATTGAAGCTGATGTTCAGATAGGTTCAAGAGCTTTGCCAACTTTGATCAATTACACGCGAGACGCCCTTGAGGTTCTTACCTGTTACTCACTCTCATACTAGCAGCTGAACTTCCAGAGAAAACAATTTACTAATCAGATTAACTTTTAGTAAAAATACTGATTACGTTTTAATGACATTATGTTCAAAGTTTTGATTATATTATATGTTTAACAATTAATACAAAAGCACAATCACTTAGCCCTTGAGATCTTCCACCATTGTTATATGTCTTTATCCATGACTGTTTGTGATTAGTTACAAACTCATGATGCAAATTGATTCATATTGGTGATGGTGGCATCCAGGGTATGATAACCGGCATAGGAATAGGTCGTCCTCAAAGACATTCCTTGACCATCTTGAATGATATCAGTGGCGTTATCAAACCTGGAAGGTAAGGTTTTTTTTGTTTTTTTTTTCCTGCTATTTTACATTACTTATTTTCTTCATGGAACTCCACCTCATATGTGTATGAATAAACAATAATTTCAAAGTACTTAAATTAGCCAAAGATATGAAACGGGTTAGTGAGCGGAAACAATTATATTTTTACTATTATAATGATGAATGAAACAAATACTATATTAATATTTCAATGTGTAATGTTATAATAGAATTTTTTGATGGAGAAATTCTAGAGTTTCATATATGTTTGTATTGTAATGAATATCAAGCTTAACGTTATGTGTGTTGTGTAGGATGACATTGCTGTTAGGACCTCCAGGATCAGGCAAAACTACCTTACTTTTGGCTCTTGCAGGAAAGCTTGATGACAACCTCAAGGTAGAACAAATTCTAGGCAGGATTACGATTCTCTAGGTCCTAAAGAACTAATTTTTTTCTCTCTGTTTTTTTTTTGAGGATAGAACTCTGGTTTACATTAATTAAACTATGCTAAGAATTTTGACACGTCATAGCATTCTTCAAAATACCATTCTCATCAGTCATCTTAGAATTACATTACAACTTTGTTTCTGTAATACCTTCGCAGAAAAGTGGTAGTATATCATACAATGGCCATGAGCAAAACGAGTTTTGTGTTCAAAGGGCTTCTGCATACACTAGCCAAACTGATAATCACATTGCAGAACTGACAGTGAGAGAAACTTTTGATTTTGCCAACAGATGTCAAGGTTCAAGTGATGCAGGTATGTGGTATATAGTATAATAATTTCAATATGTACAATTTTTATTTTCCACTTCACAATTTAATTACTTGTTTTCCTGGTCTAATGTCATAAACAGAGATTGTGAAAAATCTGGAACTCTTAGAGAAGGAGAAGAACATTCTTCCTAGTCCAGAAATTGATGCGTTTATGAAGGTTGGCTCATCTTAAATAATATCTGAAAATTCATGCACATGTGCAAGTTCAAGGTGGTCCTCTAATGTGTGTCTTTTGAAACTGATTTTGTTCCACAGGCAACGGTGCGATAATATTTTATATCATCGCTCATACTTATTTTGGTCTCTGTGTTTGACCACCTGAAAAAACATGTTGTAAATAATTAAATAATGTTTTAATAACTGATTAATTGTCAAAATACAAAGTTTCAAATTTTGGGGTTATTTTATGGTATGTGTTTGAGGAGATATTTTATGAGGGTTATTTTTATAAGGTTATTATACACACAACTTCACAATGATGAGATATTGTCCGCTTTGAACTTAAGTCCTCACAGTTTTACTTTTGGTCATCACGCAAAAGGTCTCTCTAACGTTGAGATTATTTTATGGTATGTGTTTGAGGGGATATTTTATGAGGGTCCTCTCTAATTTGTAACATCATACATACAAAAGAGGCAAAAATTGATATAATATATTTGAGTTATGAACTCAATTTTGCACACTTTAAAATTCTTTACAACAAGTTCTTAAATACTATAAGTGACTAACCCCTGATTGGGTAAAGCAAATAGCAAAATATGACTAAACTAATAAATAAACTTCACTTGCCTACACAAATAACTTTTTTCTAAATATAAGCAATTTCTAACAAAATTTACAAGCAAAATAGAAAATTACAGATATTTTAAAATATTTAATTATGACGGTACAAAAATCTCAACTGTCAACATATATAAGTGAAGAGCAATTTTCACTGTATAAGTCATTTTTATAAGGATGAGTTAGACTTCGAACCATTTTCTTAAGAATTTTAATAAATCAATATTAACACCGTAGAAGGAAAAAAAAATCCCAGATTGAGGCTTGTTTTGTAATATTACATGCATGAAAGGGTCTATATGATTTTGCATTTTAATTATTTGTGTGGTTGAATTCAAAAGGGTTGGATTGGAGGTGCCAAGCATCGAAGTGAGGTACAAAAACTTGACAATTGAAGCTGATGTTCAGATAGGTTCAAGAGCTTTGCCAACTTTGATCAATTACACGCGAGACGCCCTTGAGGTTCTTACCTGTTACTCACTCTCATACTAGCAGCTGAACTTCCAGAGAAAACAATTTACTAATCAGATTAACTTTTAGTAAAAATACTGATTACGTTTTAATGACATTATGTTCAAAGTTTTGATTATATTATATGTTTAACAATTAATACAAAAGCACAATCACTTAGCCCTTGAGATCTTCCACCATTGTTATATGTCTTTATCCATGACTGTTTGTGATTAGTTACAAACTCATGATGCAAATTGATTCATATTGGTGATGGTGGCATCCAGGGTATGATAACCGGCATAGGAATAGGTCGTCCTCAAAGACATTCCTTGACCATCTTGAATGATATCAGTGGCGTTATCAAACCTGGAAGGTAAGGTTTTTTTTGTTTTTTTTTTCCTGCTATTTTACATTACTTATTTTCTTCATGGAACTCCACCTCATATGTGTATGAATAAACAATAATTTCAAAGTACTTAAATTAGCCAAAGATATGAAACGGGTTAGTGAGCGGAAACAATTATATTTTTACTATTATAATGATGAATGAAACAAATACTATATTAATATTTCAATGTGTAATGTTATAATAGAATTTTTTGATGGAGAAATTCTAGAGTTTCATATATGTTTGTATTGTAATGAATATCAAGCTTAACGTTATGTGTGTTGTGTAGGATGACATTGCTGTTAGGACCTCCAGGATCAGGCAAAACTACCTTACTTTTGGCTCTTGCAGGAAAGCTTGATGACAACCTCAAGGTAGAACAAATTCTAGGCAGGATTACGATTCTCTAGGTCCTAAAGAACTAATTTTTTTCTCTCTGTTTTTTTTTTGAGGATAGAACTCTGGTTTACATTAATTAAACTATGCTAAGAATTTTGACACGTCATAGCATTCTTCAAAATACCATTCTCATCAGTCATCTTAGAATTACATTACAACTTTGTTTCTGTAATACCTTCGCAGAAAAGTGGTAGTATATCATACAATGGCCATGAGCAAAACGAGTTTTGTGTTCAAAGGGCTTCTGCATACACTAGCCAAACTGATAATCACATTGCAGAACTGACAGTGAGAGAAACTTTTGATTTTGCCAACAGATGTCAAGGTTCAAGTGATGCAGGTATGTGGTATATAGTATAATAATTTCAATATGTACAATTTTTATTTTCCACTTCACAATTTAATTACTTGTTTTCCTGGTCTAATGTCATAAACAGAGATTGTGAAAAATCTGGAACTCTTAGAGAAGGAGAAGAACATTCTTCCTAGTCCAGAAATTGATGCGTTTATGAAGGTTGGCTCATCTTAAATAATATCTGAAAATTCATGCACATGTGCAAGTTCAAGGTGGTCCTCTAATGTGTGTCTTTTGAAACTGATTTTGTTCCACAGGCAACGGCTGTTGGTGGCAAAAGGCACAGTGTGATGACAGATTATGTTTTGAAAGTGCTTGGTCTTGATGTATGTTCAGATACGGTTGTAGGCAATGATATGTTAAGAGGGGTCTCTGGTGGCCAAAAAAGAAGAGTTACAACTGGTGATCTGTCTCTCCTCTCTAGGAATTTGTTGCAATTTTATTTTGAAATTGTGCTCTTGTGGTGGTGTATTCTGAAGGGGTTATTTTATGGTATGTGTTTGAGGAGATATTTTATGAGGGTTATTTTTATAAGGTTATTATACACACAACTTCACAATGATGAGATATTGTCCGCTTTGAACTTAAGTCCTCACAGTTTTACTTTTGGTCATCACGCAAAAGGTCTCTCTAACGTTGAGATTATTTTATGGTATGTGTTTGAGGGGATATTTTATGAGGGTCCTCTCTAACATTAAGGTTATTTTATGAGGGTTATTTTTATAAGGTTATTACATACACAACTGCACAATGATGAGATATTGTCCGTTTTGGGCCTAAGTCCTCACAGTTTTGTTTTTGGTCGTTACCCAAAAGGCCTCTCTAACATTGGAGTATATGCACCATCCTATTGGCCACGCCTGCGGTGAATTTGAAAAGGCCGGGCCACGTGTCACGTTGTAACTGGTGGCGCTATCAGCCATAGCGCCTGTAAGGCGCTACAAGCCACAGCGCCCGAACTGCAACACGTGTCACCATCCTATTGGCCACGCCTGCGGTGAATTTGAAAAGGCTGGGCCACGTGTCACGTTGTAACTGGTGGCGCTATCAACCATAGCGCCTGTAAGGCGCTACAAGCCACAGCGCCCTTTTTTTTTTTTTTTTTTTTCCTTTTTATTATTTTTTTCCACATTACATTACTTTTTTTTTAAATAACTAAATTTTTTCTTATTTCAGTTCTCTTTTCCGCTTTTTTATCCGAAATTTTTTTAAATTAATTTATCAATTCTTATTTTTATAAAATATTTTAAATAAATTATATTTTTTGGTTCTTTTATTTTTAAAGGAGGCGCTACAAGCCCCAGCGCCCCTTTTTTAATTTTTTTTTTTTGGTTTTTATTATTTTTTTTCACATTACATTACTTTTTTTTTAAAAATGTTATTTTTCTTATTTCAGTTTTTTTTCCGCTTTTTCTGGAAATTTTTTTATAATTCATTTATCAATTTTTATATTTAACAATTATTATAAAAAATTTTAAAAATGCGCCGTGACTCATAGCGCCTTTGGGGCGCTTGGAGCCACAGCGCCTCATATTTTTTGTTTTTTTATTTTTTCGTTTTTTAATTTTTATTCACATAATATTTGTTCATTTTTAATTTTTTTTTTCTTATATATTACATTAAGTTATTTTTATTAGTTTTTCTTCACATAAAATTTTCTATTTTTAAAAATTTATTATATAAATGGGGTAGCCAAGTGAAGTCGCTGTAGCCTATAGCGACTTCTAAGGGTCGCCACCAGCTACAACGCCTCCTTTAATATGGCGTTCATGGCTTAGAAGCAGACTCAAAATTGCCACGTGTCATCGGTGTCGAGTTAAAGAGCCCCAAAGGTGTAATATGTTTCAAAACAGCCCCATTTTAGTATTTTATTTGTAAAACTGCATTATAATGGTCGTTTAGCCTCGTTAATCATATATTTTTCCACTAATAAATAAAGTAATAAAGAGATAAACACAACTCGTTCTTTCAAATGTTTTATCCAATTTGTATACTTAACTAATCATGTTTAAAATAATAAACCCGTGAAGATTCCAACCCTTACCAGATACACTTAATTAATCATTCATTACCTGATCTTTATTAATTGTTAATCACGTCGTTTATTCAACCAGAATCCTTGTAGAGACGATATTGCTACTTGTCATTATGTGCATGATTAGCACATTTGTTGTGTTTTCATCAAATACGTGTCGCAATACTATTTAAATTATATCAATAATAAAATAATAAATTTAAAAAATACACACAATTAAATTTTAAATAATTTAAGTAAGTTAAAACTATAGTAAACCTAAATCTGTGTTGTCTTTTTCAACACGGGACGGAGAGGACAAAATTCATTTCCGACTCATTCCGTTATCATTCTTATAATGTTCATAAATATATGATAATTAATAATTAAGTTAAAAATTTAACTAAAAATATTTATTATTTAGAATATAAATATTATTTGATGTTTACAATAAAATATATTTAATGTTTTCATATTATATAATAATGGACACAATATATAACCTCATAAAAAGAATTAGATTCATTGAGAATCATTAAAACTTAAAAGGAGCATACGAGCTAGCTACCAAAAAAAAAAGTAGCACGAGCACTACTTAGCAAATGCAAATTTAATAAAGACAAGTTAACTTAAGCTTGTCATTATTAACGACAATAACAAATACTACGTAATATTTGTACAAGTAATTAGTAGGTGTGGTCTATGTTGGGAAGGATTTGAATTTCTGTTTTATTTATTTTTTCTTTTAGATGGACTAGATGATTATCATTATTTCTTTGGAATCTGTGGCTTTTGTCACATATTCTCTGTAATATATTATTCACACTGTTTTGCAGAGTGCATGCATTCACATGAATCACATCTTGGGGGGAACAAAATCAAACAAAACTATCTTGTCGCTTGAATGGAAATATTTAAATGTTCCCCATTTAAATAATACTTCTCGTTAACAAAGTGCAATGAATAATGATGTTGCTCTTATCAAACATATATATATTATATGTAAAACTCTAGCATCATCCTTAATTTTTGTTGTTGTTGGGTTTAATAGTGTAATGATGAGGTGAGTTTTTACACTTAATTTATAATTTAATAATTAATAGCAAAAATATAAATATTATAATTTAAGATTATTTTAAAATAATTTTTAGATATACATACAATAATATATATATATATATATATATATATATAGAAAATAATCTGCTGAAAAAATGAAATTACATCACAATCTTATAAATATACATATCTAAAATAACATAAAACTGACAACATAAACCTAAGTAGTCGGTCAAATAATTACTAAAAGCTAACTATATTAGTGTAGCTCAAACAACACTGTCACCATCTAGCTAGTATGACTCCCAAAAACTCGTTATCCTCATCCTATTCCTACCTTACTACCATAATAAGTATGATTATCGTAGTTCAACCATAAGAAAAATTGCAAAGATAAGCTTACAAAAGACAACATAGCAAGTACAAAAGCAAAGTACAACTATACTATAAACATCAACATACCAACACTTATAAAATCACTGCAACAACTTCAATTAACAAATTTCAACATGTCAACACAACATATAATCTACACAATACAACTCATCAATAATTTCAACTTAAATAATACAACATCTCAACTTACAACACAACCATGCAACTTGTCACATATCAACTTAGCATATAAATAACACAACTTATTAACACATCATTTGCATAATACAATAACTTCATGCATCGTCACACATTCAATTAAAAAATCTCTTATAACACAAGTGAGTAGTTGAAGTGACTTGACCTTACCAAACTAACTTAACAATGTGATTTGGGCTTATTAGATCAATAGATTTGGATAAAAATCTACAACACAACATGATTTCTCAAATTTTGTCACTTAAACTATAAAAGTACAATATTTCTATCAGGGTTAGGACAAATTGGGTGAGTCTTCCACAACCTTAACATGCATAACTAAGCCTATTATGAAATTAACCCATCAACTACCCTCTAAATATTGTGCCCCTTTTAGTACTTAGTTAGGGATTTTGACCTATAACCTTGTACCTTACTTAGTTTGTCACTTTATACATGTATGACTTGACCTTGCCCCATACAGTTCTACATTTGATCATTTATAATGAATATGATTTGACATAACTCCCATACTGTATCAACTAAGGTTGTAGAGAAAACTTAACACTTCACTTTAAGAGTCAACTACTCAAGAAGGATTTTTAAACAATTGGACTCGTAGAGCACCACAACATCATATCCTTACAATGATATATTTATATTTTAAAATAATACCTCTCATCTAGTTTTAAGTCAATTAACACAACTCAACTCCATGCATCAAGCATTATGAACATAGTTACTTTCAACACTACACAACATACAACCATACTACAGTTCAACTCTCATCAACTTACAACTTTAAGCAACTTAAATATCAATATACATCATCCTAGATCCTTTGTATAATGGACTAGAATCATACAAAAACATATATCATGTCAATAATCCAACCTACTAATAAATTGTTCAACATTTAATCAATTAGACAACCAACTTCCATTTAGCAACTCATGCCTGATGTTATTCTCTCAATGCCTGGCATCATTGAGGAAGAGACCCTTTAGCTCGCCCATGTCTGACGCCAATCAACTCGCGTCCACGTGAATGAGGTAGAGAGTCCTTATATCAATCATGCCTAGTGTGATTAAACCCACACCTAACCTCATCCAGGCAAAAAGCCTCTATCTAGCTCACACTCAACGTTACTCCACTTGTGCTTGATGTCATTTAGCCAGAGAGCTACTACTTTTGTCACACTTGACACCACTCTAACTAGGGCTTGATATCACTAGTCAGAGAGCCCTCGAGGCAACCATGCCCAATGTCCCTTATCCCATGTCTAATGTGATGACCAAGTTAAAAAGTTATACTTTAGCTCATTCCCAACACAACCAATCTCATGTCCAACGTTAGTGAGGCATAAAGCCTCTAACATGCATCACACTCATGCCATGAAGTTGCGTCCAACGTAGTAGTGATTTCTAGACTTGGCAAAACCACAATTTGGCTCAAAACCTAAAAATCAACAAGCCAAAATAACATGTAATGCCAATAATCACATATAAACATCACAATCAACTCAATTCCAACTAGAAGAACAATATGCAACGAAAATATGCAACGAAAATATGACTAGAAATCACTAGTTTCTCTTCAACATGTTCAAGAAACACCAAAACTTGCAACATGAGAATTGCACCTCACAATCATCAACACAACTACGAATGTAGTGAAATCAAGTAGTATACAACTTAATAATTCATCAAGACTTCGATTTATAGCTTCCCTTACCTCTAGTCACTCCAAAATGAGAAGAGATAAGCAATAAGCAAAAAGAACGTGAAAACTTCATATATGACTCTTAACTTCAAATTATCAACCTTTAAGCTTTGAATCTAACAATCTACTATCCTTACTCAGCTAAGGGAAAAATCTCACAAGATTCTAGAAGATTCAGAAGAAGCAAGATGTCTTGCAACTCTTGCTCATCTTTCTAACTTTTCTTAAGATAAGAATTCATGAAGTTCATGTTTTAAAAAAAAAATCTTATATACCTTTTTTTAAAATTTGATCAACTTGATCTTAACTAAAACTACCTCAACAACAACTTAACTATTAAGAATTTCTTGACTTTTAGAGCTTTAAAACAATTATAACACAACAAATCAACAATTAATCAATACATTACACACAATTAGTTAATATATTACACACAATTAATCAACAAAGCTAAAATTGCAATGTTACATTTTCCCATTCACTTGTGTGGATGTGTGCGTATTTTTTTTCTTCTTCAACGTACTATCAACTAACTCTATTTTAAATATCATGTTTTGACACATATAATTATATTATATATTCTACGGCCAATCCACTACTCTTGAAAGAATGATCCAACGAAACATACAGAAAGGTTTATCTATATATTAACGAGAGAAAAGACCACCACTTCTCAAACCCATTTATTATATATAGTGTATAGTATCTAAACAAGATATATAATAAGTATATATTATAAAATAATGGTATAAATGTTAAGTACCATTTTTTTTTCTTTTAAATCATTGAAGTGTGAATCAATTTATGGGAAATTATTCTAACTTAATCGATAATTTTAAGTTCAAATTTCATATATGCATAACCATGTTAAATATTTGAGAGAAAAAATTATACTAATTAATAATTATGCTTTACACAAATATAAATGTATTTAATAGAGAATACATAGTTTATAACTTAATAGTTATGTTTTCTATACTCATGGAGATAATTTATTTAATAGAGAATTTTATGTTTAATTTTTGTTGTATGAAAAAACTTTTGGAGATAACATGATTATAGTAGTATGAGCCGAATTAGTATGTAACTCAATTGATCGAAAATAAGGGTGACAAGAAAAAAAAAAGTGGTTTATAATATTTTCTTTTTACCATAGCAATGTGCTTTATTATGTGTCCCTTGGAACTAGTCATGTGGGGAAAGGGCAGTTGTTGTAAAGAAAAGTGAGTCCATAATTAATATTTGTAAAAAAATTAATGGGAAAACAACATTAGAATTATGAATGAATAAAATAATGAAAATGTTTTGGCAGTGACAGGAGCTAACAACCAAATTGACATGGTTTCCATAAATGGAAAGATTCCCTTTTTGATTGTGGTTTGTACAAAAGTGATTGTGGGGTTTAATTGAGGCTACTAGTCTCCATGTGCGCGTGCAAATCCAGCCAAACAAGGATCTTAATTTAGTTGCATAGTGTGTATCATGTGCATCTAATTTAAATCATCACCAAACCACTATTTATCTTCTCTCCTAAACTTCTGGAGGCAGATTTTAATAATATACTCATCATTTTAAGTTTATATTTAGTTTCAGCTTAACTGGTAGGTGATCATAATAGTAAGTGTAAAACAAGTTAACTATAATCAGAATTAACATTAAAATTGATCACATATGATAAGTAAATATTACAACTAAATCTTAGTCAATTTTGATTTCATACAACCGATTTTAATTTTTAAAACCTCTATTATGGATAACAACCCGTTAATATCATGATACCAAATTAGTAAAATAATACATTCAATAAAATTTTATTAAATATAAATTTAACTGATTCAACCATTATATTTGATAATATTATTGATTAAATAAAATAAAATAAATTGTTAATTATTTAATAATTTTTCATATTATTTTATTTTATTGAATTAAATGATATTTAAAATAAATATAAATATTTATTGTTAGATATTATGTTTAGAAGAGTTTAATCACTTAAAATTTAATATATATGATCAAAAGTATAATACCATTTATTACAAAACAAAATCGATTAAATTTAAATTTTTTAATAAAATTATTGAAAATATCATTTTATTAATTTGATAATATGGTATCTATAGATTTTGATCATACACATACAATATTCAAAGTATTATTTTTTTTATAATGAACTATATAACTAATTTTAGTAACAAATTATGAATTAGGTACAATAACCAAATATATCTTTTTATTAATAGAAAAAAAATCACAAAAATAATAACAAGATTTCAACTTGTGTATACTGTTACTAGATCCACTAGTTCTTTCAAATTAAAATGAGTATATAGTTGTATATTATATCAAAAAGGAGAGATTAGTCACTTTTAGTAATCTCATATGACTTATAAAAGATTATTTTTGTGAAGGGGATTTATAATATATATTGAAAATAAAATATAAAATTTATTTGTCATTATATAAATTAAACTTATTTATTAATCAGTAAGTTTAATTTATACAATGACTAACAAATTCTATAAATCAAATTTATCTTTTTTTAAAATAAAAAAAACTAAACTTATCTTTATCCACTGAGTTCTATGTAACGACTTGACTGATCTTTATACACGGCACGACACACCAGAAACACCACACAGAAAGGAACAAGTGTATATATATATTGTCTAGAATATATATATATATATACATGGCCCAAGTCTGGATAGAGTTAAAGTGCACAAAATACATCAATAGCTACTACACCAAGTAGCTTAAAATAAGCAAAACTCCAAAAGAAATCAGCCCTATCTGCCATCTGCATTCTTGCCACTAGCCACCAACCTATTCCTGCTCTGCTCCCATACATAGTATGATCATTGTAGTCCAAACACCATGGAAACAACAAAGGGTAAACTAGTGAAAAGAAATCAACATACATATATAACAATATGAATGTAACAACTACAGCTATTAGCACATCAACCAGCTTAACTACACCACAACATTCGGTAATATCAGCACCGCAAAGTGGCAATATCAGCACTGCATAACAGCAATAACAACATCACTCTAGTGGCTATAACAGCACTGCATAGCGGCAATAACATCACCGACTTAGCGGCTATAACAGCACCACAATAGTGGCTATAACAATACCACAATAGTGGCTATAACCAACATACAGCTCAGTAATATACAGCACAGCCAAACAACTCACAGCCCAGCTAACACATCTCACAACAGAGCACAACAAATCAGCATACAACACAGCTAAGTAGTATTCAACACAGCTTACTACTCACAACTCAGCTCAACATTCTATAGTACAACAATATTATAATTCAGCATTTAAAATCATCAATCACAGCCCAGCTCAGCACGACAATATACATCTATTATTCAACATTATCATCTAGTCAGCACAACATATTCATCAATTTCAGCTTAAATCAACATCTATCAGCATATAAGTCAACATCATCATACTTGCCCGGCGCACTCATGGTCGCGCCAAGCGCGGCTCAACTAGAGAGCACCAGGGGCCAGCGCGCCCGGTGTGACCCAGCCAGAGAGCCCAAGGCTCTTACGCGCTTGACGCAATACAAAATTGCGCCCAGCGCATGTCCAGGCAGAGACTCTAAGGAGTCTCGCGCGCCCAGCATGCCCTAAACCGCGCCCAGCGCGGGGGAGGCTGAGGCCTCCCAAGGTCTCGCGCCCAGCGCAATTTAAGTTGCGCCCAGCGCCCCCATGGCAGAGACTCCCAAGGAATCCCCGCGCCCAGCGCGAAGATGGTCGCGCTCAGCGTGGAACCAGACCCCAAAACATGTCATATCCTGCCAGCGCGCTTGGCGCGATCCACGTCACGCCCGACGTGGGCCATCCAGAAGCTCACCTTCTCAAGCTCGCCCGACGCACACATCTTTGCGCCCGGCGGGCTTGCCTAAAAGGAGCCTCCAGGTGGTCTCGCGCCCGGCTCGAAGAACGGCGCTCAGCGCGGGGCTCAGCAGCAACCCACCAAGTTCAAAAATTTTTCCCAAAACCTGCAAAAATCCACTCATCCAGCACATGCAAACCAGCCAAAAGCTCACATTTTAATCAAGCATCAAGAAAAACTCCTTATTCCATCATGCAACTTCAAATCAAAGAAAACCCCAAATTTCTTCAAAACCCCGAAAACTCCAAAATTTCATTTTCAGCAATCTCAGCCCAAAAATCATCTAAACATCAGTCCACAAATGAGTTTATGAACTCACTCTCAGCAAAACACAACCAAAAACTAGCTTCCCTTACCTCGGTGCAAGAATCCGAGCTCCGGGAAGAAGGCAAGCTCAACGGAGAAGAAGAAAATGGACGGAGCGGAAGAAATGGCGAAGGAGAAGAAGCTCCGCACGGCTCAGCAAATTCTACCTAGGCTTGATCAGCACCTAAGCTCACCAAAGAAGAAATCCGCGAGTGAGAACAGAGAGTGAGTGAGAGTTTTGAGTGGGTGAGAGTGAGTGAGAAAAGAGAGGGAGGAAAAGGGTTTCACATTCTATTTCCCTCAAATTAGTTACAAGATATAATGTACCTATTACGGGTTAAAATGAAATACAATTTTACTTTGCAAGAGATAATTTATATTATTTTAGTTTATAAAATATGCTTTTATACAAATTAATTTTAAAATATTAACAAAGCCTGTGAGACCCCATATCCGTTCTTTTTTTTCTCTTCCTCACTATCACTCTCATACTCTTTTCTCCTTCCCTCATTCACTCTCAAATTTCTTTGTTTTCTCTTTGCCTTTGGTCTTTCTCTGGAACCATTAGGTGGTGGAGCTGAGGAGTTGTGTTGGAAGCTAGCAGGGGCGCGAGTTTTCTTTCTTCTCCGTTGATTTTCTCCGTCCATCCTCCATCTTCTTCTCCATTCTCCGCGATCCCGAAGCTCGGATTCTTCACCGAGGTAAGGGAAGCTAGTTACTTTGCTGTTTTTGGTTGAGAATGTGTCCTAGAAACTCAATTGCTGTTTGTTGGTGGTTGATCTTTGGCTGAGATTTAAGAAAAAACTAGTTTTCGGGGTTTTTCAGGGTTGGGTGAAAATTTGGTGATCTTTCCTTGTTTGTGGTTGCATGTTGAAAAAGCTGGTATTTTCGGGTTGTATGATGAAAATATGATGTTTTGGACCGATTGCATGTGCCTGGGGTGTTGATTTTTGCGGGTTTTGGGTGAGATTTTCGAACTGGAGAGAGTTGTTGTTTGAATTTGCGCCGGGCGCAGTTCTTCGCGCTGGGCGTGATTTGAAATGGATAATTTCTGGGTGAACCGCGCTGGGCGCGGGGAGAACCAGGCCGGGCGCAATAGACCTCTGTAGGTCTCTAGTTGAGAATTGCGCTGGGCGCGCTTTTAATGAGCCGGGCGCGCATGTGATTTTCAAAATTGGACTTTATAGTCTTCATGAAAGTTGTAGCCTTGGATTTTAGCTTTCCAATGGCGCTGGAATCACCCAAAAAGGAGTTTTAGAACTCCAGATATGGCTGTTTTAGTAAAGAGGGGTCAAGCTGCTAGCATTACTTATAGCTGTTGCAGTTTTTAGAATTTTTAACAAGGTAGATGAAGGATATAGGACTTGGTAACTTCAAGAGAGTTGTAGGAAATCTTCTTATCTTTCATATGAGATAAGGATGAGTATGGTAGGAGTAGTATAACTCCTGATGCGCTGTTTTCTGTGAAGGTTGCCATTTCACTTTTAGTGATTTGGTTAAGTTGAAAGTTGTTTTAGGTGCTTAGGTGTATTGGTGTTGTTTGGGTGAGTAAGTTGACAAGATAGATGAGTTGTAAACAAGATGGTTGGGCCGTATTATGTGTTGAACATGTTGTGCATTGTGAAGTTGTTGATCATGCTATTTTAAGCTGTTAATGATTAGTGTTATTGAGCTGAATGATGATATTGATGTGCTGCGCTGAGCGCGGCCCTTGTCGCGCTGGGCGTGAGACTCCTTGGGAGTCTCTGCCTCGAGGGCGCTGGGCGCAATTTGGTTTGCGCTGGGCGCGAGACCAAGGGAGGTCTCTGCCTTGCCTGCGCTGGGCGCGGGTTGGGGCACGCCGGGCGTGTGAGACTCCTTGGAGTCTCTGCCTGGCCTGCGCTGGGCGCAATTGGGTATTGCGCCAGGCGCGAGAGAGCTTTGGACTCTCTGGCTGAGTCTCGCCGGGCGCAGGCACGCTTGCGCCGGGCGCGCTGGCCCCTGGAGCCCTCTGGTTGTGCCACGCCAGGCGCGACCATGAGTGCGCCGGGCGCGTATGAGGATGTGAAGTTATATGCTGAATTTGATGATAATATTGTTTTATGCTGAACTAAGCCGAAATTGATGAATATGATGTGATGACTAGTTAAAATTGTTGTTTGATGATGTTGAGCTGTGTTAGGTGTATATTGCTGTAAGATGCTTA